GGGCACACATCTTGGCCGCAGTTCGCAGAAGTCCATTCTGCCCGGCCAGCAAAACTCTCTCCTTGAGGTTGCAATTTGGGCGCCCCCAAGGATTCTATGGGCCTCCGGGCGCTTCGCCTAAGAATTCCTCACCACTAACGACCCTGAACGTTACAAGTTGACAACGGTTTCACAGATGGAGGGCGGGTCGCTTTCAACATGTGGCTCTCGCCTTAGCGCCGCGCGCATTCGTTTAAAACGAATGCAAGAGTTTCACGGATTGAAGGCGGACCGCTTTCAAAATGTGGCTCTCGCCTTAGCGCTGCGCACATTCGTTTCAAACATGTGCAAGAATTTCTCACGGATTGCAGACGGTTTCTTTTCAAACTGTGACTCTCACTTTAGAACCGTGTACAGACGTTTTAAACAATTGCAAGAGGTACACGGATTGAGGGCGGTTCCTTGAAAAATGTGGCTATAGCCTTAGCGCCGCGCACATTCGTTTTCTTAAACAATTGCAAGAGATTCAAGGTTTCCCAGGATCAGCGTACCAGGAATGGCGTCCTGGAAGGATTCAAAATTATGAGGGTGCAACAGTTACGTTGATTCGCGGTGTTGAAGCCCAAGGAATGGCGTTTTGGCACGATCCAGGATCGTCAAGACGCAACAGTCAGGCTGATCCGTGGCGTTGAAATCCCGGGAATAATGTTTTGGCATGCCTCAGGGTCTTCAAACGGTTGTCCTCCAACGAGACAGTTCCCTCGGTGTAAATGAACCGTTGTAGGGGCCTATGAAGAGGGAGCTTGGAGGGAGGGGTTATTCCAACATCGTGGATGCCTCTTGGGTTTACACTGGTCCTCCTCCTCCTCGTGCTCCTCCTCCTCCTCGTCCTCCTCCTCGTCCTCGTCCTCGTCCTCCTCCTCCTCCTCCTCCCACCTCCTCCTCCTCCTCCTCCTCCTCCTCCTCCTCCTCCTCCTCCTGGGGGGGATTGGCTCAGGGGCAGAAGCATCGAGCTGGAACCGGCGATGCATCGCCGATAGGCCCCCGCCAGCGAAACCGCACGTTGCTGGGCGGGTGGGGCTACCGGGCCCCTCTGGGGGCAATCGGTGGGCGATTGGGGGTCGATGCGTCCCCCCCTTGGCCAACCCCCTCCCGCACGTTGCCCCTGACCACCCCGTCGGGCCAGATGAACAGCTCACCGGCGGGCGCCAACGCCGCGGCGCCCTGCGGTCGCATCCAGTGGAGCAGGGACAGGCGCTCGGCGGGCATCTTCGGGATCCGGAGCCTAGAGGAACAGACAGCGGCAGGCAGGCAGCAAGCTTTCGGAGCTCCGCGGGGAGTTCTCGCAACGGCGCTGGGGCCCCCTCCCTGGCGCGCGGAGCGCGCCCGGGGCGGCAGTGGAGGCGCCGCCAGGGGTGGCCCACCGCCCACCCAAGAAATCCGTGCGCAGCTCCGAACGTTCATGCTCATGCCGCTGATCCGCGCGGAACTCCGAACGTTGCTGCTTGGGCCGTTGATTGGTCCTCCGAGGAGCCAGAGGGAGAGCGTGTACGAGTTGAGGACCGCGTCGGCCTCCGCCACGGCGTCCCCTTCCTGCTGCGGAAACGGCACCTGCTTGACCCACATGGACGACTGGCGCGACACGGCCCAATAGAACGTCGCGTCGCCCTGCGGGCCCCCCGCCTGGCTGCCTGAGAGGGAAGACGAGACGGCACCCGCCGCCGTGCCCTCGGGCACGGAGCGGGCGTGTCCTCGAGCCGTTTGCCCGATCCCCCGAGCCTCAGTCCTAGAGGCCTCCCAGATGGAGTCCGAGTAGATGGGGTCGGAGGATCTCGCGTCATCGCCGATGCATCGGCAATGCATCGCCGATGCATCGGCGATGCATCGGCCATGCACTGGCGACGTCGGCGATGCATCGGCGGCGTCGGCGTGGAGAAGATTGGGCCCCGTATCGAGCCACATCGCTGATGCATCGCCGATGCATCGGCGATGCGGCGCGATCCTCCGACCCCATCTACTCCGACCCCATCTAGGATTAGGTCGGGCCTGTCCCCTGCAGGGGGATTTTGGGCGAAAACATAAGAATACTCAAAACATACCCGAAAAAATCGCCGGCCCACAGGGCCAGAGGCGTGGTAAGAGCTCTAATAACTGGGTAACAAGATATTCTCGTTCGCGCGCGCGCGGGGCGGCTTCTGGGGGCTCCCGGACGAAAAGTACCCCGAGCAGGTCCCGGCCAGTTCGGCTCAGAGAGGGTTTTCCTCCTCGGCGCTGCCTTCCAGGCCTCCCAGGGCGCTCCAGGAACGCGCCAAGAAGGCTCCGAGACGCCCCCGAGTCGATCCAAGGGGCCCCGAGTCGCCGAAAGATTGCTCCAAGACGCCCATGCTGGTCTCCAGACGGCCCTAGACGCCGAGAAGCCCCAAGAGAGCCTCAAGAGACCCTCCAAGAGGGCCCCAACAAGCAACAATCGTGTTATTTCCTTCGGAAAACGTGCATTTCTGGCGTAGACGACGTTCGACGGTTCACAGCGTCCAAGACTGCCCAAGAGCCCCCCAAGATCGCCCCAAGATGGGCCAACATGCCCCCAAGATGCGCCCAAGAGGGCCCAAGAGGGCTCCAAGACGGCCCAAGAGGGCTGCCTTCCAGGCCCCCCAGAGCGCTCCAGGAACGCGCCAAGAAGGCTCGGAGACGCCCCCGAGACGGTCCAAGGGGCCCCGAGTCGCCGAAAGATTCTCCAAGACGGCCCGCGACCCTCGGACACGAGGGTTCCATCATCGCATCAGATGTCCCCTGCGCCCCATCGACAAGCCCCAGAGTGAACATCCACGACCAGCAAACCCCACGAAGGAACCCGAAGTCCAACAAAGCACCACACAACTAGCCGCCCTGTGAAAAGCGACCGATTCCTCTGACAACTCCCAGGAAATCCAAACGAATCGCCCCAGC